AAAATTTACAAGACATGTGGATCATATTCGACCGAGATAATCAACTTTTAAAAGTGTCCGAAATTCGAGTTTAAGTGTCCGAAATTTGAATCGGCACGGTAGTTCATATTCTGCAATGAAAATTATATACATTAAATAATAAGATGCAGCTCTATGTCTCCTACACAGAGTACCAAAACTACCCAACGGTTGAGTTCTTTAAAGTTGTTGCCTGTCACTTGCTCTCTTGTTGTTGTCAAAAGAGCAAAATAAACCAAAATTGAATTCTATTCACCCAACCTGACAGTTCCGTGCACCAAGTTAAAATTGAGGAAGCTGAGTAAAACTTAATTTTGAGTAATTTGAACTTATTGTTGAGTGAAAACAACTTAAAGGTAAGTAATCCTGTTTACATGCAAGTGAATGACTACAACTCAAAATTGAGTTGGCGCACGGAACTCCCAACCTGGGTGAAATGAACTCAAAAATAGGTACTTTTTTTCTTTCCGTGTAAGCTAACAATGGCAGGAGGATGTAACATTGAACTGTCAAAGTTATACAGCCATCCATAGCAAATCGATATAGTGGTTCTCAGAATTTCGTAAAAAATTGAAGTTTTGTTCCTCATCGCAAAATATCAGACTCGTTTTTTTTTTTTTTTTTTTTTTTCATAATGGCGATCATGTTAGGGTAGTCCAAAAATTGTTTATTTTTTCAAAAATCAAAATCCATAACTTTTGAACCACTGGGCCGATTTCAAAGATCGAAATATCAAATGAAATCTAATTAAAAATATCTTTAAGGACAAAAAGAAAATGACTATAATGTTGACCTATGGATCTTAGATTGGGTCCATCGCTAAAAATCTGCTTTTTTATCAATTTTATCTAGATGAACGGTGCTAGTGGATATTTTTGGTCGCTATTGAAAATTTAGTCGATTGCTGAATTTGTGTATGGGCCCAAATTAGGGGCACTAAAGCCGATATTACATCCGTTTCCCCTATATAATGATATTAAAAAATATATATTTTGTATTGAAAAACCAGTGACGGTGGTTACATTCAATTATTCCTAATGTTTCTTCGAGAGCGTGGTTAAAAGGCTTGTACTTGTGTGATGAGTAGTCTTATGACCAACCACTAACCCCTAGATACGCATCTCCATAGAATAAACCTCATGGACAGCAACATCTGTCGGTGTGGAAACGATTAAGATGACAGTTTGGCAATGTACGGATAATGACGCCGCCAGAGAGCGACTTTTGCATACCCTCGAGACCCAAAGAAGACAACCCTAAATCTGTTTCTGCTATATGCAGTCAATTTATGTGTTTCTGAAAATGTCTATTATATGAATTTAATTCCTGTGTGCGTTTTTTATTTCTTTTGTTACTCATGTTTTCCTTGTCTTCTCGTCTCGATGAGTCTTATCGTCGCCACCAAAGACAACAACAGTCTCGAACCCTGGTCACAAAGCACAACTCTATAGCACTGGCGACAACTCTCTGATGAGACAACGATACCCCATTTCCAAGCTCCACCACTGATCCTTCCCTAAAAAATGCTACCCTTTTATCCTCAGGTAAACCGCGAGTAATCGGTCCATCCTCACTAGACGTAGTATTAAGTTATTCTTGTTAGTCTGCAATTAATAAAATATCGGCTCCATAGAGCTAACGTGATTGAGCCTCCCAAATAAATTTATTGAAAAAAAAACCACTTCATTATTCTCAGAGATGTTCCAAGTATTTCGAGGAAGATCAGAGATCTTCATAGAAGTTCCAATAGTTAATTGCAGGAACTTTCAAGAAGTTTCTAAAAATTATGGAGTATTATGGAGGAAGGTTCTGAAAATTCTGTTGATATGTGGGATCTTCAGGGAAATTCCATGAATGTTAAGAAAATTGTTTGGAACGCTTGAGTTGTTTCGGGAACTAAAAAAAAGACGAGATTGGCTTTGAATACCACTGGGTGGATATGGTTTGGTCCGGGTTCCGAATAACTAAGGTGTCCAAGAAAAGGTAGTTGGCATTGGTCCTCCTTTTCGACAGAGGATTGTAGATGTTGGTTGTATTCGTTGAAACTGTTCTGTGTATTTTCGATTTGCTCCTGTGGTAGTGCCAGGATGAGATCATCCACGTATTTTTTTGAGACCAGAAATTGGGAAGTTTAGTATCTTGGTGACAGTCCTTAGGAAGATTTTCATTACCAATTATGCCAGAATTTGGGAAAGAGGATTTCCCATAGCTGTTCCAAATTGTTGTTGGTAATATTTGTTGCGAAACTGGAAATAGCAACTGTCCATACAGAAGTTAACCACCTCGAGGAACAAATCTAGGTTTATTTTGTTTATTGATTTATTTAATAAGGCTCAAACTAATTAACTTTACAGAGCCGAGGATTCTTGATCACTATACAATACATCTTAAAACTATAGTCAAAAGGTAGAACACAATAAACACTGGACGCAAAACGTGGTCAGTACTAACACACTCATCACGAAACGGTTGCTTTCCAAAGTCAACGACGCATTGACCGAAAGAACTACTGAACACTGAATCTATCTAGGTTTATGTTGGTTGCTTTCCTAATAGTGTCCCAGTTCATGATGATATCATGTTCGACCAGTTTCTTCGGTATGTTCGTGAAGAGGAAGACTTCGTTGAAAGATACTAACACGCAGCGTTGCCAGTATTCCAGATTTATCTCGATTTTCCAGATTTTTAGTCGTCTTCCCAGATACACAGCCAGACCACGTATATTTCCAGATTTTTCAAATATGTTCCAGATTTTCCAAGATTTTTTAAACATGTTGCATTAAAAATATCACTGCAATTGATTTACCCTCTAATAAAAAAAGCCAAACTTGATAGGGGAAATGTTGGCTTCGGCAATACCTTCACCTATTATCGTCAGGGGGTAAACAAAGTCCTAGAGCACTCAAATTTGGCCAATAGTTGCTATGAAACACAATGTATCCACATGCCAAAATTGAGCTCTCAAGGATGTTGTTTACCCCCCTGACGATAATAGGTTAAGGTATTGTCGAAGCCAACTTTTTCCCTACTTTAATTTTAAAAGGCCATCAACGTTGGACATTATTGGACATTAAGGTAATTCTGAAAATAGTTCACAGTTAAGTGTGCGGCGAATTCTTTGTGAAATCAAAGGAGAATTTCAAACTTATTCGGATTAGAATTACATCCCTCTTTGTGAGCTTCGGGGTCGTACGGCGTCACCCATCATTTAGGCGTATTGTGATTGCCACGAAGTGAGGGTTCGATTCCAGCCGGTGCTAATTTTGGCAACCTGAAAATTTCCCTACTGGTCTAATGGGTGTGGTGTGTCGTCCGTTATCTAGTGTTAAATATTCAGTCTGTGCAACCTCTGGTTGAAGACAGTGTCAACTGTCTTTGTCAACTCTGATGACAATTGCATGGAGGTTTTGGCAATAAAGGAAATACAATCCCGAAGAGAAATCATAGAAAATTCTTATGATGAAACTTAAGGAGTATGCTGATACGAATCGTGAGAATAATGTCGATGGAATTCTGTCCATTGTTTCTATGGAGTTAAATTTCAACAACATTTTAAGAGCAATTTCTGGGAGACTTTCAAACCCATTTTGGCAAAGTACTTGAGTACTTAGGTAATACTGAAAAGGATTTCAAAAAAATTCTGACCTTACCTACAAAGCAGTTTAATGGGAATTATCGGATAAGTCTGGGAAGAGTTTGACAGTCATTCTGAAGAGTGTACCAAGGAAATCGTTAAGAATATTTTAGGAATTTTCATAAAGAAAAATGGCCACAAATTTAAGGCAATTCTTGAGAATTATTACCAATTTGAGGGAGTTGTGGAATTGGAGAGAGATTTATTAAAAATTACAAGAGGTAATGTTACTGGAAAAGTTAAGATATTTTCAAGATTATTTTAGGAAAATATAGAAAAGAAATATAGAATTTAACTAAAAAAGCGGAGATATTCTGTGAAGAGTTCCAAGTAAATTCAGACTAACAAAAAATTCATGATCTGGGACGCAGGAATAATAAAAATTCCTGGAATTTAAAATCATTGCAAGATCCTGAGACTTCAAAAATGAAGCTATCGGACTTTCATTTTAGTACTATAATAACATGATTCTTTGGCATAATGTTCATGCGAATAGTGGAGTTACCCGTAGCTTAGGTAAACTGTGTGTGAGTTCCACGATGTTTGACTTGATTCCCATTTCAGACCGGTGAATTTGGCTTCAAAATAAAATTGCCTACTGGTCTGCTGGGTGTTGTGTTTTATATGATGTCTGAAATTAAACTGTAAATCTGATCAACCTCAGAGTAATATTAGAATTATTTAGAACTAATAAAATCTTTAAATTCTGGTACTGCATCAAACAGTAAGGACTACATCGACTATTAGTTCAAAAAATCCATCCCATCAAATTTCCTTGATTCTTTGCTTTTTACTCTTTTAAAAAAATTTACAGTTTTAAAAAAAATCTAACCATATTTTCTGCAGCTTTCACCCACATTTAACTTAATTTTTGAAATGCTGCGTAATGGATATTTGAACTTTTTGGGCACACCAATGTGTCAATACTTTTCAACTATTGGATGATTTTAGCAATGCTAACAAGTTATTTTCTTTGTATAATTTATTTAAACATGTAATTTATAACTATTCTAGTACTTTAAATAAATTCCAGATGATCATACTGACCTATTTTTACGGGAGATTGGCACATCACTTTGATTTCAATAGCATTATGTTAAAAAGAGGATGTTTTGGAGCATTCCAGATTTTTAAATTTTACCCGATACAGATTTTTCTGAAAATGACCTGGCAACGCTGCTAACACGTATCGGGTGGGTAGTGTAACCGATGTGATGTAGTCAACGAACGTGAAGGTGTGGTCAAAATCGGGAGAGCACTGTATAACCATTTAAATCAGATTAAAATGCAATGCAATACCTGTATCATCATCACCAATCTAATTATTTCCATTTGCTGCTTTTTTCAGGTGACAACACGGCGGCGATATCGCGTCGGAAAACGAGTGGCGCCGGCGCCACCATTGCAGTGACTACACATCTGTCCTCGCTGCTGCTGGACTGCCTCTACGTGGTACCGGGAGTGATAGCATCCTTCCTGCTGACGGCCAGGTACCAGGCCTGAATGTGAAGCAACATCCTCCTCTGTCGGCAGCCTCCTAGTAGGTTCCAAAGCAACCGAAAAACAAACCAACTGTACAGTAGTTACTGTCGTCGTCTGTAGTTAGTAAGTTAAGGAAGTACGGCTCTCGAACAAACGGAATCCAGTAAAACGAAAAACACAAAAAAAAAGTGTTTCTCATCAGCCCTGGACAGATCGTCCAGGACAAGAACCGAGAGGGGGAAGCGGCGAAAACATGCTAAAGCAATTGCTTTTCCCCTGTAACAACTGACAGCACGCTGAGAGAGGCAGACAAATTGAGAGAACAATATTTCGAAAAGTTTCATTCATGCTGGGCGAAATTTGCAGAACACAACCTCCTTCAGGCACGTGATGACAGCAGTGGGGCGAGGGAGATTTATGTCGCCAATTGAGGGATAAAGGAACACGAAATGTAAATTTTCTGTTAGGCTACAAAAGCGGAAATTAAATTTAAAACTATCACAAACTTTGAGAAACCGGTGGCATTGGTGGCGAAACATGGGTTTCCTATTTGAAATAGTATTCAGTGTCACTTCTCTCGATAAAGGGATGAAGCAACGCCCACAGGACGCCATTGTATTGGTCTAAAGCATTGTTTGAATTCAAGTAAAAGTTTGTTTTTGATTAACACACAAATTTATAGTTTGCGTCGAAACAAGTGCTGCCATCTATGTTTTACAAATACTGAATGACGCCATGGCTGTTTAAGGTAATGAGTATGAGATGGTAGCACTGATTTCAAATGAGTTCAAATATTTTTCAAAACAGGAATGCTTTTGCTTTATGGTCAATTCTGAAAACAGTCATCGACACATACTCACTGACAGTGAAGTTGGGAAAGTTAGACTAGAATATCTAAAATCCACTGATACCTTAGCTTACAGTCAAACCCAGTAGCGAATTCAATAGAATGATGACACATTCACAGCAATAAAATCTCAAAGGAATTTATGCATCGGACCCGATGTTCCAGGAAAAAATACACCACACACACACACACACACAAACAACACTATTGCACTCTTGTGAAACAAAAAAATAACACAACATAAACAATGCAAGCAAGCAGATGAAAATGTGCATCAACGTGAACGAACAACAACCGGAGAAAAACAATTTCGAGCTTAAATTATTCAAGTCCATTCAACAACAAAAAAAAACAAAGAGGCTGAGTACGGAAAACTGAATGTTAATGACCAAAACGGTGCATCTAGCCGAAAACGAGTGTTGTTGTTGTTGTTAAAAACTGCTCCGGTCAATACAAAATAATGATGGAAATGAAAAGAACTGTAAATAGAGTTTCATTAAAATAGGAGGCAACTCAGTAAAAGCACATAAACGACCCGCTGGTGATGGAATGTCAGAAATTAATTATCCATCCGAGGGAGCCGCACATTCATTCGGGACCCGGGTGGAAAATCGCAATTACAAACTGCAAATAAACTGAAGATGAAAAGAAGTGGTCGAATTCTAGGGTCTCTGGAAGGCCAAGTGGCATGCCGTGGGAGGAACTCTCGCAAATTACTCTATTGATAGCTGTCATTTACATGGAATTGACATAAAGTTGAATGGTGGCCTCTGGTATTTAGGTTCGGAACAAAATACTAAAGGTAATATGGTGATTATTTCAGCTTGAATGATCACTATTTTCTTTACCGCTAAAAGCGTTTATCGGAAAGTCTTGAATTATAGGGTGTCCCAGAAAGAACACGCATCGTTTGTTACTAGAATAAAACAACGTTATGTTAATGAACTCAAATTTTAATGCCACACATATGTTTTCTGTAGTATTCGTTTTCAATTGGATGAAAATAATCCTCAGTTTTTTTAATCGTATGCCAAGTATCGAATTTTTGATCTGATGCTGCCCATGGGCTTCAACACAGACTCTGTTGATAATGTCCAGTCTTTTTCAAATTCTTTGATTGAATTCGCTGCCTTAAAGTGTTTCCGTAGATATCCCTTCGTAAGGGTCGAAAAAATTTCCATTGACCGGGCCTCCTGATAATTCGGAGGATTCATCTCTTTTGCCATGTATTGCACATTGCTTTCTTTGTACCAAGCTACCGTGTCTTTCGAGTAGTGCATTGACATGTCGGACCAAAATAGTACTGGGCCATCATGTTGACGGATCATGGGCCGCAGACGCCGATTCAAACAATCGTAAATATCAGTGTTCATCGTCTCCTTCGTCGCAAATGGCTTTGACAATTTGCCACAAACACATATCGCTCGCAAAACCATGGCCTGCTTACCATTTTTTTCGGTAAAAATTGACTTGTTGGCATCGTCAACTTCCTGACCATCACGGACTGTGTAGTATTGGTCTCCCGGAAGCATCTTGGTAGTCAAATTTGACGTATCTTTCATCGTCCAATTTCTGACCCCGTTTCGGCTTTTACTGCTTCTTGAACGTTTTCAGCCCGTTTCTTGCATTGGCACGTCTCTCAGTTTTTTGACGTAGGACTACGTCTGTGATTTCTATATGGGGGTACACTTTGTGAAAACCAAAAATGGAACATGTAACAAAGTTATGAAAGATTTTGAACGTTAATAACTCAGCTGCCCCTTGACCAATTGCAATAATTTTGACACCAATCGATCAGAAATATTTCCACGCATCTGCCTAATCATTTTTCAAAATGTCAGAATTGAAAATTGCACGAATGTGCAACTGTTCCTTCTTTTTCTTTTTCTTCTTATTCTTCTTCTTCTTCGCATTTCAAGCTTATTGCTTATCGCATATTAGCTTACTGCGTGCTCTCAACTTAGTGTTCTAGATGCACTTCCACAGTTATTAATTGAGCGCTTCCGATGCCTGTACCATTTTTGCAGTAGTATAATTGTGTGGGAAGTCCAATCATACTTCTATGCCCAGGCTAGTCAAGAAGTTTTCCAACCCGAAAAACTCCTAGACCGGACCGGGAATCGAACCCAGCCACCTCCAGCATGGTCTTGCTTTGTAGCTGCTCCTTTACCGACTGAGCTAAGGGAGGCCCCAACTGTTCCTGGCAACTGATCCTACGATAATTAAAATTATCATCGATTGCCTGCGAAAAGCGATTTCCCTTACACAGATTTCAAAGTTGAATTCCATCACCGCGTGGTGAGTGGTGGTGTTCTCCAGTACACAACAAAAGGCTCCCCACAAGCAGCTAGCTTACAAGGCTGTCCACAACCACTGATCGAATTCAGTTCCATAGAAGGAGGAAGAAGCCGCACCGCTATTGATCGGAATCACTAGCTCTTCGTAAGTCGCTGTGGGCCATCTATGACAAGCGTGTCATACTAAAGAGTATAAACAGAGAGAACTCCGCTCAAATTCCTATTCCTACACAAAAAAAAAGCTCCTGCTGCAGTTAACAAATAAAATTTATTATATAAGACCACGCAGTCCTACGTCACCATTACGTAAAACCCCATAGGGCTGTCCCTTGTAGTTTTTTTTTGGCCAACCTCGAACAAAAGCACTTTTCTTATTGACGAAAGCTTGATGATCTTCTGGTATAATTTTCCGTCCACCAATGCCGGTTTACGGCCAGATTTCCATGTGTCCTCGAAGGCCACTTCTTCACCGAACATTCGGATGGTCTTTAGAGTGCTCCGATACTCACTTCCTCCATTTTCGCCAACTTCCTTACTGGTAGGTTGGATATAGTGCACCATTTGTGCTCGATCTTATTGCGCTTTTCCGGGAAAATGCCTCGCGTTTTGATGATTTTGTAAAAAAAATGCACTTTGCGCTTTGTTGAGCAATAAGTAAACAACAACCTTTCATCGATGTACAGCTGATAAACTTATTCGGGGTAGAAATGGCGGCGAGTTGAAAGTGTGCTTGTACTTTCTGGGACACCCTTTCGATCGAGACACATATGTATATTGTTGTGAAAAATAATATATATGCAAAAAATTAGATTTTCAAAATGGAGGTTTCTAGAAGACCAGAATTTATAAAATTTCACAAATAAAGAAGATCTAACCTAACTTTTAAAAAATGGTCGAACTTTCTGAATGAAATATTTTTGCTATACAAATGAAAATTTCAATTCCAAGATGGTTTATTATTTATAAAATGTTGATTCAAGTAGATTTTCAGAACGATGGATTCAAGGCGTTTACATTCGATCTTTTTGAAAGAAATGTTATTGAAATTGTGTTAACAATTTAATTCCCAAATGGTGATTGATTTTCAAAATGGATTCAAATAGTGGGTCTTTGATAAAAATTTCAATGCAATTTTGTTGTATAGTGATGAGAATCTAATAATGTAATGACAATTTCTATTCCAAAATGGAGGACTCAAGATGGCCGGACTTTATAAAATGGTCGATCTTTCCGAATGCAATGTTAATGTAATTTGAATGACAATCAATTCCAAGATGGTAGATTTTTTTCAAAAATAATGATTCAGTAAGTGATAGTAAGTTTTCAAAATGGTAACTTCAAGATGGTGGGTCGTATATAAAATGTTCGATCTTTTTGAAAGAAATGTTAATGCAATACCAATACAATTTTCAATTCCAAAATGGTGAATGGTCAAAATGTTTTGTTGACAACTCTTGCGTGAATATCGACCCATCAGCTCATGAACCGGGGACCAACGGCTTTACTTCCCTTCCAAAGGAAGGCATTATCAGAGATGTTATGCCTCAGAAAATCCCTGCGGCGCCGACTGGGAGTGAACCCAGGCCTGCTGGGGTGAGAGGCAATCACGCTTACCATTACACCACCGGCGCCGCTAGAATTTCGTGATATTTCGCATCACTGATTGGATGATAGGGGTCAGACACTTGGTCAAGCATGAGGTACGTCACCGGTTACTGCAGAGGGCTCCCTCAAATACAGGAGCAATTCCTTGCTGATCTTCCGTTTGTAAAGTTTATCTACTTCGAGCAAATGCTTATCAATTGTCCTCAAAGTCTGTAGGTGGGGTAAAATGTGCATGTACGTTGAACACCCTAATAGCTCAGAATTCCTCAACCATCACGACAAAACTACCCTCCATAAATGTGTTAAATAGTATTTTCAGGACATTTTTCAAGGTCATCAATTGGATGTCAGTTTCATAAGTTTAAATATGACATATAACAATATAACATACCATATATTTTTAAGGTATTATTGGGGGTGCAATTTCCAAAACCAAAGCCGGTCGCGGCATGAAAGTGGTCTGATTTTGATCCAGAGATGATGGATTTTAATTCTTAATACGCCAATCGACAGGAATTGTTTCCCTCAAGAGCCCTCGATACACCGAAGAAGAGGAAGAAGCCGCACCGCTACTGATCGGATTCAGTTGCTCGTCGTGAGCTGCTGTGCTCTATCTATACCCAGCGCTTCACCCTCGTTCCAAACAACATGTTCATCGCCTTGCTGCCAGCTACATCACCCCCAAAGCTCTTTGATATTATACCATATGACCTTGTCAATTAAACAGAAACACTTCGCATTAAGGTAAGGTTTTCTCCAGGACGCTAGAAAAAAGCAAAAAAATCTCGAATTTATGTGATTGATCGCGAATATCTCGCGCTTGGAAAATTTTAGCAAGAAATTCCTGCAATAAATTTTCACTTCGATTATCAATTGAATAAACCAGAAATTCCGTGCGTTTTGTATACCAAAATGCGTAATTTTTCATCAGAAAACGAGGCGATTCCGTGATGGGAAAAAGTGGTTTCTTGAACACAGTCGCCGAATATTCATAAGGTCGTGTTTTGGATACAAGCTTTTACTGTTTTTTGAGACCTTTTTTCGAATGTAATGCTTGTATTTCAAACATGCCTCACTTTAAGCTACTTTACTTTTAAATAATCATCGAAAATTCACAAAGAAAGCGGTTATGGTTTTAATTTTAAATTGCAGAATATGACATTTTTAGGCAAATATCTGTATTAGGTACCAAAGAACAAAATTTAAACTATAATTTTGTCGAACTAGATTCTCAGAATCAGGACTGGTAAATTTAATTTTCAATAAAAGATCTAACGCGATTTTTACAGAGATACTTCTGTCACTATCATTTGATGAGAAAACGATCATAGAGATTTGTTTGTCATTACAGAACATGATAGTGTTTTGAACATCGTATTTACTAGGGTATGTATCGATATTATTGTTAATTGTAACGTGGAAAAACTTATTGACTCTACTGATTAAATACTGTTGTATGCCTAAACTCATCCAAATCAATTAAAAATGTTGTAGTCAAAATCGAATGAGAATTATTTTCATGAGTGCTAAATAATTGAGGCCTCCCTTAGCTCAGTCGGTAAAGGCGCAGCTACAAAGCAAGACCATGCTGGAGGTGGCTGGGTTCAATTCCCGGTCCGGTCTAGAAATTTTTCGGGTTGGAAAATGTCTCGACTTCCCTGGGCATAGAAGTATGATTGGACTTGCCACACAATTATACCAATGCAAAAATAGTACAGGCATCGAAAGCTCTCAATTAATAACTGTGGA